TACAAAAAAAAACGAAGGAAATATCAATCTTAGAAACTTTTTAAATTTATGACTATATAAAAATTTGTAGATATAGTTTATTAAGTGTGAAGCATTAAATAAAAAACTGGATTTCTTACATTATTTTTAACCGTATAGAATCCCCATCTATATATACACTTTTTTGGGCACATTTCAAATAATTTAATATTTAAATTAAATTAGTTCTAGCTAGCTTTGGTACCCTTTTTCTTCTGTTAAATAAACTGACTAGTTGACCATATATTTCATTGTAGGTGTTAACTCCAATTTGAAGCATTCATCAGAATCTTGAAGATGTGTCGGTTCACAAAATTACGAAGAAATGTCCAACAGATTAGGTCCTAATGGAAAGGGATTGAAAAGACCAGTGAATTGCAATGCTAAATTAACCTTGGAATTCATGTAAATATGTAAACCAAGTACTAGTAACATTCGAAGAAGAAAGCACGTTGGATTCAAAGCTATAGCTTACAAACTTTGAATTTAGATGCAAATGTGATTATATAATTAGCTAGTTCATGAAGTCATAATCAAGTATATAACTAACTTGGAGAGGTAAACCAATTACAAAGTATATCAAGTTTCTCCAACTCATTGAAGACTTTCTTAATCTACACAAGTTTCACCAACTCATTGAAGATTTTCTTCATCTATATCTAGTTTTACCAACTCATTGAAGACTTTCTTCATCTACATAAGTCCAATGTGCACGGGACCTGTCAACATATAGGGTCCTACCACCTGCATGTGTGACACATATGTACAACCCAGTAACACACTGAGCAATGAAGAATCCTTTATATATAAGGCTAGAACTCTTGCAAGGTGACACTGCAATTTTTAGCTCTTTTCCACAAACCTTAACTGGGCCTCCATGGTACATCTTCCACATTAAATTCACTACCTCAGTGGACTCACAGTTCTGGATATCATCCAATTCTCTGTTCAGTCTGCTGACAGTACTCTTTTTGTAATGTAACCTCTTGCAAGCTTGGACTAGAACTAACATTGTTGTCCATTGGATGTGTTAGTATTAGTACTTGGGAATTGTAAGGGAGATAGGAATAGAAAGAAAGAAGAAATGGGACACCACTCTTGTTGCAACAAGCAGAAGGTCAAAAGAGGGCTATGGTCACCTGAGGAAGATGAAAAACTCATTAACTACATCACAACTTATGGACATGGTTGCTGGAGTTCTGTCCCAAAACTTGCAGGTAATTAAGATCGAACTCTACCATTAATTAATCTTTCTTCTCAGTTCACATTATTTTCAATATTGTGAAATTCTCAAAATTTAAAACTTTTGAAATTATTATATATATGTTCATTTCATGATGTGCAGGTTTGAAGAGATGTGGAAAGAGTTGCAGATTAAGATGGATAAATTATCTAAGACCTGATTTGAAACGTGGAAGTTTCTCTCCTCAAGAAGCAGCCCTCATTATCGAACTCCACAGCATTCTAGGCAATAGGTAGCCATTGCTAGCCAGATTCTCCTCTTTTATTTTCTTTTCTTTTTCCCCCTTTGTTTTTTTCATGTGCATCATCAACATTATTATTACAAAGTTGCTTTATTTAATTACTTTTCTCAACAAGAGTTAATTTTTTCGATAGGTGGGCTCAGATAGCCAAGCACCTACCTGGAAGAACAGATAATGAGGTGAAAAACTTTTGGCATTCAAACATAAAGAAGAAACTGCTTTCTCATGATGTTGTTCCTTCTTTTGCCACATTTTCTGATATTCACAGCCCCAGCAATATTGGTTCAATGGAAAGTTTCTTTCCTTTAACTGCAAACCCTAATGTGATCCTAAACTTTCATCATCACCAAAACCAGCTATACCTTCCAACCCCATCTCCAATCCTACAAGGTTTTGATCATAATGATATTAAGGTAGACATTAACAATTATAATGCCAATTTCTTTTATAATCAGAATCCAATTCCAGAAACAGTACTACCATCCAATCCATCCTCTTACGAAGAAGATACATGGCCATTGGGTTCTGTAGCTCTTCATCTTAATCCAAATCAAGAAAATCAAATTACAAAAAATGATACCACCCCACATTATGTAGTAGACAAATTCATCAACCCAACTGCATTGCAGCAATATGAATGTCATTTGGTGGAACCAATTGTGCCAAAAGTCGGTGAAAGCTTTGAGGAACATGTGGGTCCAGCAAAAATTCAGTGTTATCCACCTAGTAATTATCCACATTACCAAACTGTGACAGCGAATCAATTGGAATACATTGATGCACTCATGTCATCATTGCCATCCTCAACAACCTCATCATCAGTATCAAGCAGTAAAATAGTCACAAACCCTATAATTCCTTCGGGATGGGAGTGAGCATTGGTGCTGTATTTAGATATAAATTTAGTTTTATCTATTTATGTTATGTATAATATAATAATGGGGGGATCTCTATAATGATCAAGGAGCTCAATTATTTCAATGCATTTAATTAAATCTAGAACTTTTGCACAAGAGGGTGTAGTTCTCATATTTGTTAACCTGAACCTTGCTAGTTCAGGCCCTTCCATTAAGTGATGCTTGCTGAAGTTCCATAAATATGTGTCGGTTATTTCACATGTTTGTCACCTAAAAGTATGTATGAATTATTTATGGAGAGAGCTACTTATTTCTGTTGCTTCATCTCTCTCTCTCTCTCTCTCTCTCTCTGACATTTATGGATGACGTTATTTGACAAAGACAAAAGACGTACACATCATGGTCAACTCGACGCCAAAGTGTCCTTAAATGTGCATGGTCGGGTCGCAGTAGGCCAACATGCTATATACTTTTTAATGTGATAAGAACTGCTTAAAGCATGCATATATATGCACCAATGTGGACAATCTTGTAACTGACGAAAAACCTGCTTTAATTAAGATTCCTCGACGTTGATTGGTAAAAGTAAAAATAAAACTATTCACTTCTTAAGAGTTTATATTTATTTTTTTTATAACAGATCTTAATTAACTTTTTGAGGTTAATCAAATCTCCACGTATTTCTATGGATTCAATTCTTTGAGTTGCCTATTAAATTAATCCAAAGGTTAGGATGTAGTTTGAAATTACAGTGTTTTTTTACATCTTCCCAATATGGCATTTGATGAGATTCGACTCGTGTTTCTAATATACATTGCAGTAGAATAAAATTATTTTGGTTTCTTCCTCCATTTTTTTTTTTTTTTAAATTTTCATGTAGAAACAAGGACCCAAAAGTATCACTGTTACTGTTAAATTAATTTTGCATCGAACGGCATTTTGTAAGGGACCATTCTATCGTGATATTTGCTTTCCCCCGCAGGAAAAATTAGACTTTCCTTCTAAGTTGGTTAAACTTTTGCAAAGATTGAAGAATAAAAAGTCACTTCAATCTTAATTAAATGGAAAAGTGGAAGAAAATAGAGGAATAAAATTAGGATTCGGAATATTCTAAGTTAGGTTAGATAGGCGGAGTAGAGTGGGGAGAAAATCTAGATTCGATTACCATAAAATATATATTGGGGAGTGACTAAGTCCCGACTCAGAATTAGTCTCGTAACCAGCTCAAAGAGATAATTACAAAAAAAACCAAGTTTATTTTGTAAAATGCCAAGCATAAACTTAGCTTTGTTATCTATTATAAGTTTTTATTTCTGGAAGCACAACCCAACCAATTTGGAAGAACACCAAAAAAAAAAAAAAAAAAAGACCAAGTCGAAAGATTATTTAAAAATCTGCATCATTCCATAACCTTCAAATGAGTAAAGAAACATATATTTTCTAAACATTACAACAGGTTGGTTATATTTATCACAATTTTAGACTTATTATTTTTATTATCTTTTTTGTTATCGTTAGATTAATTTGAAATCAAGTTAAATTTTTTCTCTTTTTCAACCATTTATTTCAAATTAATTCAATGGCAACTAAAGAAGTAGTAATAGTGGTAAGTCTAAAATAATGGTAAATATAATCTTTTCCTTAAACAGTTATAAATTTAAAAAAAAAATGATTTTTATTTTATTATTTACAATAGGGATAGCTATAACTTTTTTTTTTTCTTACTTGAGTTGAGAGCATGATTTATGATAATGAGCATTGAGAAATTATGATTCCGTCGTTAACATATGGATCTTCTAGAAAGAATCAATCTTAGAAACTTTGCCCCTTTCAATCATAAACTGAATGTTTTTTCTTTCGCGGTAAAATCATAAGCTGATATTATGCATACCCCTTTTCCTTTCTCTTTTATCTGTTGATAATTATCTTTCTTTTTTTGGTTAATGTGTTGATAATTATCGTTAAATCATTCAACAAAGCCGTCGTGGAGACAGCCGGGACTGTGTTTGCTCAATAATTTTAAGGGCCCATAATAACGGAAGTGGGCTTCCAGTCTCATCATGATTGAAGGGTTGGCCTTTTGTACGACAGAAAAAGAGAAGGGGAGGGGGGGCTGGCATATACACAAAGAAGCTGGTGGGCCACATTCAGGTTCCTTTAATTTTCTTGATGCTTTTCGTCACATGGAATTGAAAAAGAAAGAAACAGCTGAGTGCACTGGTAAACGTGACACATTTTTAGATAGGGTCTGATGTATATCGAGGGCCATTTGTAAACAAGACAATACATCTAAAGTTGCTGAACTATAGTACAATTTTTTGTGTTATTCGTTATTTAAAAAATAATGCGTTGACAAATTTGTTATGTCCATCAATAAAATGACACAATCTTTATAGTGTTCATTGTTTTGCATGCAATAGAGCTAGGATAATTAAAAGATAAGGATTATTAATATTTTCTCTTCTGATGGAACAAAGTTTTATAACCTGATTTAGTAGATAACAAAAATTTAGATATTTGTGTTAATCCTTTAAATTACTTTTTGTCTAGTACCAATACTATTTGAAAAATCAAACGAAGTATACTTTTATTCTATTTTTTCGCACATCCATTTTTTTGTAACAAATCAAACTCACCCTTAGTCTGACATTAACTTCTTTTGCTACATCAATCTAAGCTTAATTTATAAAATCCTTATATACCTATGAATTAGCATAGGAGTTAGGACTCATAACAGAGACAAAGAAACAAGGATCATTACACCCACCAAACTAGATCATTCTGCTGTAGTGGACATGCAATTAATACTGGAGTTACAAATTATTGCAACTGACGAGAATCTCAAATAGACGACAAACAGTATCTTAATTAACATATCCATACACAGTAGTTGCCTGAAAAATTGCTCAAAGCAGACCGTACACAGAACCCCATCCCTGTCCCAAAGAGGAGCTCTTAAGGTAACAAAATCCATCTTGTTTCACTGGGTCTTATCATGAATTGCATTAAGTTTCTACATTGAATCTTTAGCTCCAAAGTCAATGATACTAAGCTGTAATCCTTGACCGACCCTTGGCTATTCTTCGAGCAATTACTTTTCTGCCACCCTTGGTTGCCTTCCTGCTCATGTAAAAGAAAAATTATATTATCTACAAGACACAGTTCTGTTTTTGAGATTACTACTGTGAATTTGCATATCAGCCATATGTAAAATTCAACAGTTCTGTCCCACTAGTCATAAGTGAGAATGCAAGACCTTTTCATACTGGCCAGGAAGCACCCCCATGACCATTCACTCAATGATAAGGGCCACTGACAATTTTAAACAAAAAACATATATATCCCAGTAAGAAAGAGAAGCAAGTAGTCCTTCGGCCTAAAAGCATGCACTAAGTATGCCACTTTGCCTGGCCAGTCTAAAATGCAACACCCATTTATCCATTCTTTCTCTCAGTTATTGAAAAATATCTGGATTATGCTAGATGTCCACATTATCAACTTATGTATGCCAAAACCAAAGCAACCACAGTCAAGAGGCATAGGCAACACAAGGAAAGATGATACTCAATGTGGTCTCACGTTCCAAGAAACAATCCGTATAAAATTCAGGCATAGGTTTTACTTTTCATTAATTGAAAAGGTTTTTGAATATTCTTGACAATTTCTCAGTTATCTATTCATCTATGCCAACAAGCCAAGGGATCTAAGAAAAATAATGTATAATGAAATTGTATGAGGTGTCAAAATTAATTGACCATCTAATTCCTTCAAATCCTCTGGCATATGCCTCATTTGGTCTTGGCATAGCCATAGAGTATCCTGAAGCATGGTGACATTCTCCACAAGAATTATAAAACTTAATAGCATTGACACTCATGGAGAAGAAAAGCAAGGGCTAACTAGTCATCTTTTCTTATTTCATATAATAAAGGAGACATCTGAACAAAAAGATGAGAGACTCACCGGGCAAAATATCCATGAGTCCTCTTTCGCTTGATAAGGCTAGGTTGAAATGTCCTTTTGGGGAATAAAAGCATTGGATCTTCTGAGGAAGAATTATCCCCTGCAGACCAATGATAAATACTAATTACAAAATTCTAGAGGGAGGTCATCTACTTAAAATTTCATAAAACACCATCCCATTTTATGTTGGTACAGGAAATATACTTTGTCATAGAAATGTAAAGCGTTGCATATCACATAACAATTTGAGTGCATCATAAAGATTAATTGCATCCCCCATGTGGTTTATTTCTCTTTTTCTTAATTTCCAAAAAAATAAATAAATAAATAAAGCAGATAAGTGCCTCATAGTCAACAACTAAATTAAGGGCTGACAGAACATGAAGCAACATAGGTTGAGAAATACATCTCTAGTATTCATTCTAGAAATCTGCCATCAACTTTAAAGCCAAAGATGCATTAACCTGAGGGAAAGCCTAACTAGATAAGATCTTCTTTATCTATTTTGAGATCAAAGAGTGCAAATAAATCAGTAAACTGAAAAACAGAAATTGATTGTTACTACACAACACACATCACAGCAGTGCTAAGATCACAAAATCATGGCATCAGTTATCAATCCAGTAATTAACCAATCAAACGTACAAATAAAAGCTTCGTTTGATATGAATTTGAATTGAAAACAAAATCCATCTTTTTCTTCATTTTCTGAATAAAAGTTTACTGTAGCTATAATGCCTACACAAGCACTTCAACTCACATTTCTTAATTGCAAAGCTAAAGCCAAAGATATTAATTAGGAACAAGCCAATCAAGGCAATAGTCTTCCAAGCCACCGAGCCATGCAACTATATCCAAAAAAAATATCTACCAGAAAAACAGAAATTGAACAAGAGACGCAAATTCATAAGAAGAAATAACTCATCAGATACTAGAGACCAAAAATTCAATAATCCATAATTTGTTATTAGCGAATTTAATTCTAAAATACACTTATACAACCCTAAAGTGACAACAAAATTTTTTTTTTTTTTAAAAAAAAAGAAAAAAAAAAAGAACAAGAAGTCAATTATACCATAGGATATATCACTTGCTACAAAGTGAAAGGTGTCTAATGTTAACCCACATTTTTCTCATAAAGCACCCAAAAATCAAAACTTTGTCCCAATTAAAAATGCCCATCTTCACCCATATTTATATTTTCTTATTTATAAAAAAGTAGAGGTTTAAGATTGTGATTGTACCATCAGGTAAGAAGAAGCGGAGAGAGGGGATGCCACATGGGTACAGGAACCCTTCGGAGGCCAAAAACTTCTTCGTTGATTCGGCGTCGTTTTTGGGAAAATGGGGAGAATCGGGGAACCTAGAGAGGGATGGGAATAGCTGAGGTTGAGTTTGAGGATGAAGAAGCGATTTTGATAGCCGATTCAACAATGAAGCTCCACTTCTGACAAGTGTCTTCGACGCCATTCTTTGTTTTACTCAAAAGCGTTACCTAAACCCTAGTTTATGCACCCACAGTCAGAAGAAGAAGCAGAACGAGCAGGACAAAGAAGCTGGATCGGAGTTTTGATGGGCTTCAAGTTCGGGTTGGTACTATCCGACCCGGAAAATCAAATTTCCTGAAATCATAACACCTGAGACTGAGAGCAATGTGGTAATTTATTCTGAAATATGACCAATATTTATTAGATTAAATTAAAACATTATTTAATAAAATTTTACCTTTGAGAGTATTGCTTTTAAAAACTTTTAGGACTTGCAGCGTTTGACAAACTTATAATTAAATTTGGATCAATTTATTTGATTTTTATATTTGGCATTAGTTAGAAATAAGATAATTAGAGACTTGAATTTTTTAAAAAAAAGTAAAGAGTCAATTTAATTTATGAAGAATTCCATCACATGTAGTTTATATAATACAGTTCACTTATAAATTGCTGCCTGTGTTGCAATTTGTGAATCTAATTGACCATCATTAAAATAATTTTTATTCAACATTTTAACATAAAAAAATAATAATTTTAAAGGTTGAGAACCTTGAAATGCTTGTGTAAAGTGTTGTCGTAATGAAATTATTTTCGAATAAAAATTGTGTGCACAACAATGCCATTTAATGCCTCAACTTTCTTTTCTGTTCTTAAAAAGTAGATCCTAGAGATCTGACCAGAGTCTAGGAAAATATCTTACAAACAAACATTTGGTTGAAAATTATAACTGCTCAAGCGTTTTGCTGATAGTTGATGTTAAAAACAGACGAAATGGCATTTTTTAAAATATGCCTAGGAGATTACTAGAAGCATTTGCTTCACATCAGAAATAAATAGCGACCAACGGAAACGAAACAATGAAGAGGAGAATTAAAAAAATGTTACACGAAAAAGAACAATACAGATTGATATCAACTATAGAATAGATGTGACTTCGGCTTCTGCTCCACCTTTGCTTCAAGGAAGAAAATAGTAAAGAAAGAATTATCATGAATCTCAACTGTACACAATCACGCTGAACTTTGTTCGAGTTTATTGTTCACTAGGAAGCACAGAAGATATCCAATCAGAAGCTACCATTTGAATATCCGTTTCAATATGAGGAGAAAGAGAGAGGGGAGTAACTGCAACCTGTTCATCCAAATCAGATGCAATATTCATTTAGAAGAAATAAACAAACTTGGTTGCATACATACTAACAGCCTAATGAAGGTGCTTGCATGCCGCCATTAAGAACATAAAAAAAAAAGGTATAAATTAAAAAAAAAAAAAAAATAATAATACATTTCACGTTAGATAATCTGATAATCATGCTTAAAGATAATTCAGTTCTCCAACTTACAAATCCCCTTTCAAGTGCCCAGTAATCCAGATCGTCATCTATATCTTCCTGCTGCTTATTCAAAAACTGCAAATACAAGTACAGTATAGCTAAGTTCACTTCTGGTTAGAAACAACTTAAAATCATTTAATTGCCATACAAACATAAACATATAAAAGCACTGAAGTGAAAATAACAATCTCAATCATATGTGATGAGAAGTGTAATTTGTAGAAGCACATAATTAAAATATATCTCTCTTCCATACCTCTAGTCTGAAGTACTTCTTCACCCTGTTGGAATCAGGTTTTCTTGCAGCTCCAATTGATTCAACAATCTCCAAATTCTTTTTCTGTGTAGTTAATCTGCGAGCTGCACCCTGAAGTACAGCAAGAGGTTAAAGATTCTACTATCAGCATCAATAGATGCACTAAAATCCCTCCAGATTACACAGAATGCACAAAAATGACATTATTTAGGGCACCCACAGCAGCGGAGGCATCTCGGCCAAGCTGGGCAAGCTGAAGACCAAGGCCTTGTTTACTGGCCAAGAAATGACCAGGAGGATAGTGGCTAGTTGAAGCCGCCTGCCAGTTCAGAGTGGATCTCCACATACTTTGCTTGGTCAATCTGAAGCCCTGTCCATGTAACAATACCGCAGAAGTCATATTAGAATCTAAGCACCAAAAATAGTTCACTAAATTACCGAGATCAAAGAGAACCAAAATATAAGAACAGTGAAACTAAAATGTATTGCCTAATTACAAAAGGGTAACAGAGGTCAATCAAAATTCCACACTTTCACTACCCTCTCTGAGAAAGAGCAAGTTTCCAAAACAAAAAGCCCATATATCCATATAGGTAATGTTCCTCTGTATATTTTCCCATCCTACAAACCACGTTTTTGTGCAACTCATGATCAACTTCCAGTGGAGAAGAAAAAAAGAAGAATAAGAAGAATCACACTTTATCATGTAACTAAAAGCAGCAAAAATTTCACGGCCATCCCACAAACAAAAAGTTCACTGAAACCAAAGCCTCTTCAGGTTCCTTTGGCTTTCTCAAGACTCTGTAAGTACTTACAAGTCCCACCACATATGTATCAACTTTCATTTTAACAAAAGGAAAATCCCACCACCAGATTTGATTATCAGTCAAGAATCTCATCCATACTGGATTTTCTACAATGTATGGGCCAAACTTAGAGCATTTTCATAAGACAGCAAAGTGCTTGATAAAAGTATACAAATTATAATGAAATTTGCAGACCTTGTTACTTAAGGGTGATGTAGGAATTTCTATATTCAGAAAGCAGCTTTTGGGAAAAGTTCCATTTACGACATCCCTGATAGCAGCATTTATTAATGGTAAACAAAGTGCTACTGCATCCTTGAAATCAGTTTCTTGACTTTCATCCTTCTTCCTGCAGCAGGATATGGTAACAATTCACGACCTCCAGCAGTCTAAAATGCAGTTCAAACTGGATATAATAAAGAATAATCCACATACCAATTTAATGATATTGACAACGAAGGTACACCACATAATAATGCCTCTCTTGCTCCAGCAACAACACCTGAGTAGAACCTGGTGAATCTTAAAGTATTAGAAGTTTTGACTATGCATAAGGGTGCACACAGGTTTAATATAAACTAAGATTGAATATTATCAGGGGGAAGTAGGAATTGTATACTAATATGGATTTATAAATTTAACTCTATGCAGAACGGAACAACTTACATGAGATGACCACAACTTGATCCCCGGTTAATTCCACTAATAACCTGAAATTTATATCATATTCATCCATAAATTTTAAGTATTTTATTAATTAGAAGAACACAAATAGTCATCAATTGTATGATATAAATGCTAACCAGCATTGGCTTTGACCCTGAAAACAAGGCCCCAGATAATGCTAGTGAAACACAATCCACAGGAGTTCCTGAATTATATATCAGAAAAGAATAAGAAATCCATGCAAGTATTGGTAGCTACAACTACAACTATAAAACCACGCAAAAATTACCAAACTCTGGATGCATTATATTAGTAATATAACAGCCAAGTAAATATGAAAATCAGTTGTTATCAAAAAAAAAAAAAAAAATATGAAAATCAGTAGCTATATGTCCTGAATTTCCATAGAAGATTATTGAGAAAGATTTTTCCCCCTACACAACTAGAAGCAATCCAGCAAATCCACATCATTGATGAACTAAGTTTACGTGAACTTGATACATTGAATAATAATTTTCTTTTCTACACAACTAAAAGCAACCCAGTAAATCCACATCATCTATGAACCAATTTAAATGAACTTGATACACATGGGATATAACAAACAAAGAGGAATGGTGGTGGACAGTAAATAACAGACCAAGTTAAACTCCTCTGAAAAAAAATGATTCCAAACAATTTAGAATAGTAATCACATTAAACCCGATACAATCCCATGATAGTATATTTAAGAAAGCTGGAAGAAAGAGTAAAAACAGTAACAGAAGTTCAAAAAAAAAAAAAAAAACATATAACTGAAGTCATACCTGAAACCTCAAAGGCTGTAGCACCACTAATTTCAGCAGAACATGCTTCCACCGTTTCTCTAAGAGTCACGGAGTGCCCCGAAAGCGATTTGTCCCTAAAGCAATCATTTTTACGAACTAACAAATTACAAAGACATCCCAAGTTCAATAACAGAACCAATTGATACAAGACAAAAAAAATTCCAAAATTTGAACGAAATAGCCAAATAGAGAAAGAAACCAGAAAAATCACTGAATCATGAAACCATAAACCAAGTAACTCACGATTGAGGAACGCAGACATGAACATTGTAGAGGCCCTGACGAACAAGGGCTTCAACGAGGTGTGTAAGACCCGGGGACTCAATGCCATCACTGTTGGTGACCAACACAATGGGCTTGGAGCTATTGTCAACAACAACATCCTCATTAGTGGTAGTGGTAGAAGAAGAAGAAGAAGAGAGTTGTGACTGTGAATCTAAGGGTTCAGCATTGTCCATCGATTGTTCAACACCTTCTTCTTCTTCTTCGGTGCCCTTTCTGCTCAGAAGCACTTCTTGGAGGTTGGAAACGAGGCCTGGAGGCATCACGTTCTTCACGGAACTCAACGACGTCGTCATGACACAGAGGAAGATACTTGAATGATGCTGGTGGAATTGCAAGATTGAAAAACCTATGGGGGAGATTTTTATTTATCTGGTAACAATAAATTATTAGAATATAATAAGAAATATATTTTGCTGAAATGTTATTAAAAAATTGTTTGATATGGTCATATTTTTTCGAAATTTTGTGATTTATTTTAGTGAGTGTGTGTTTAGTTGACTGTGAAATATTAGTGAGAATATACGATTATTTTACTAAAATAACTTTACTTTTACTTTTTAATATTGTATTATATTCAACATTATCAAAAAGTAGGGTTATTATTGTTCACAACATTTTGGTTCTCTTTTTACTTCTCGGAAAAACTAATATTTCATCTTGTGATCGAGAAATTTAGTACCACTTTCATACATAAACGGTAAAACCGGGCAATATTGTTTCTCAGGAAAAAGTGTAATATTTTTGTTACCAATTGTGGTCTTCCAATTCTCCATGCCTAGCTTTCCAAGGAATCCAAAAAAAATCTGGGTATCAAACACCCCTACAAAAAGAAAAAGAAAAAGAATATATAAACAAAGGGGTTTAGTTTTCTTATGTGGTAGTTGACAACTGAATTTTTCTGCACAAATAAGAATCAGTGGGTTCCATTACTTTTTTAAAAAAAAAAAAAAAAAAAAAACTTAACTTTTAATGTCTGAACAGGAAATACTATTCATTCTTTCTGTGATAGAAAAATAGTATTTCCCATAAACAAAAAAAAAAAAAAAAGGAGGGTAATAAAGCGCCGAAAATTGAAATATGAAGAAGGATGGAACAGTTATAACTTATGTTACTGTTTAATTTAAAATTATTATGTTTTGTTGTATATTAAGCAAGAAGATTCACATACACATACATGAACTTATTTAAAAAAGTGAATAGAGGAAAATTAGTAAAGAAAAAGTGATTCTTCTATTCAAAAGATTATTTTGGAAGTTGGGAAAAAAATATAAAAAAATAAAATTAAACATTTTCAAAAGTTATTTTCCTCTCATATCATAATTTTTAACGATAATCAGACTACCAACCGATTTAGTAGTGGATTGGAATATGACAACCGATTTAGTAGTGGATTGGAATATGACACCTTAGCCATATTATGTGCCAGCACAAATTTATAATATCACAACTCATCTAGGTCGCGTGTTGCCATGAATTCTTATATCATAATCTGACAATTGAGCTAGATTGTGAGTTAACATAATTATCCGATCAAACTGTGACATCTCAACATATTACGTATCAGCATAAATTCTCAAATAATCATATATCAATGTAACTAGGTTACATGCTGACATAATTCTCGAAACATAATGTAACACTTTAACCAGTTACATATCAGCATAAATCTCAAACCGAAATATAATACCTTAACATTTTAAGTGTCAGCATAAATTCTCAAGTTGTTATATATATATATATATATATATATCAACTCAAATAGGTTAAGTGTTGGCATACTTCTCGACTAAGTACATGTCAGCATAAATTCTCATATAGTCATGGAAGAAGACATATTGGTTAAATCTATTCCATGTAATGTATAAGTAGTAACAAATATTATTAACGAGGTGTAAAACTTAGGACTATAGGCTTAATAACCCAACCTCCTTAGATATGTCTTAGCATATACTATCAATTAATGTACTCTTGTAATAATGATGTTAATATAATGTATTAAAATTTATGTATTTGAACCAATTTTTGAAAATTTATGTAAAATTTAGATTTTGCAGCCCTCGGGATGAAAATCCTGATGGACACTTTAGCACTTATTACTAGCCTACAATCATTTGTTTATCTGAATTTTTTTTTAATATATTTATTATATAATTTAATATAAATTCAGTTTAATCAGTTGAACATGTTGTTCTATCTTAATACTGTTTCTAAAAATAATTTTTAAATTTCAGAAATAAAAAAGAACCCATCTAATAAAGCCTATTTTTGTAAAAAAATTAAAATTTATAATTTTTTTATATTAAATTTAGAGAACATATTTAATTTGTTTTATTTTGTGTTTTGACATTTAACTTTCAAACAAAAAAAAAGCCCATAAAACACATATTTTCATAACTATTGTACAAAACAGTTTAAAAAAAAAAAAACTAGAACACAATTAACATACATTTTATTTCCAAAAGAAACACTAAATTTAATTATTAAAATTATTGAATAGGAGTAAGTTTTTTTTTTAGATAGTATTTCCACATTTCATAAGTATTTTTTTTAGACTTCATAAGCTTTTTGAGTTAGAGCCTAGAGGTGGAGCAATTCTTTTAGGCTATGTTTGGGAATTTGGAGAGAAAGGAAAAGAAGGGGGTAAAAGGGGAAGGGAGAAGAGGTAATTGAAGGGTATTCCCTTTCCTTGTTTGGGAGTTAAAAAACTGGTAAGGGAGAGGGAGAAATTCTAGAGTCCATGAGATATTTTTATAACTTTATCCATTTTTAAAATTAATATAATTATTACATTTTACAAATAAAATTAAGTTTAAAATTTCTACACAAAATTATTTATGTATTTTTTACACTACTAAAAAAGATCATATTTTCGACGAAAATTCTACGTTGCAAACGATAAAAATTCTGTGAAAAAAATTATTTTCCGTCGATATACTTTTCACCGAAAGGCGACAAAAGTTTTATTCGATGAAATTTTTTACAAAACTAAACTTTTGTCAAAATTTACGATGAAAATTAGTTTCCGTAAAAAATTTTAACGAAAATGATTTTGTTTAATATTTTTGACGAAAAAAGTTCGATCAAAATTTTTGACGAAAAAAAGAATTCAATCAAAAAAATTGATGGAATGTTTTTCGTCAAATTTTTTTGATGAAAATGTGTCCCAACGAAAATTTCGATGAAGATTTTGAAGGAAATATTTTTGTGAAACTTTCGATAGAATTTAGATTCCGTAAATAATTTTGATAGAATATTTTATTTTGTAGAAATTTTTTACAATAACATTTTTGTCAAAAAAATTTACGGAAATATTTTCCATCGAAAATTTTTGACAGATTATTTTATTGTGTCAAAATATTTTACAAAAACATTTTTTTGTCAAATTTTTAACGAAAATATTTTCTAGCGAAATTTTTTGACAGAAATGTGTTCTATTGAAAATTATGATAGAAATGTTTTTTGTTGAAAATTTTGCCGAAAATATTTTTGGTCTAAAATTTTCGATGGAAATGTGTTTCGTCGAAAATTTCAATAGAAATTTTTTCTGTCAAAATGTATGATGAAAATATTTTCGTCGAAAACTTTTAGCAAAATTTTGATTCTGTAAAGAATTTTGACGATTTTTTTTCCCGTCAAAAAAGTTTTAACAGAAATATTTATGAAAATTTTCAATGGAATTGTGTTTCGTTAAAATTTTTGAAGGAAATATTCTTCGTCGAAAATTTCGACGAATATGTTTTTTTGTCAAATATTTTGAGGAACATATTTTAACGAAATTTAGATTCCGTAAAGAATTTTGACACAAAAAATTTTCTATCAGAATTTTTTACAAAAATATTTTTCTTCACAAATTCTTACGGAGTTATTTTTCGTCTAAAATTTTCGCTGGAAATGTGTTCATTTGAAAATTTTGATGGAAATGTTTTTCGTAAAAAAATTTGAAAGAAATATTTTCTGACAGAATTTTTACGTAATTTTTTTCTGTCAAAAAAATTTGATGGAAATATTTTTCCTTGAAAAGTTTGACATAAATATTCTGTTGAAAGTTTCAACGGAATTTAGATTTTATCAAGAATTTTGAAAGAATTTTTTTTCGATAAAAATTTATATAAGTGATTATGGCCAATTCTTTTTTCGTCTCTATTTTTGACGTAATGTGATTTTCGTCAAAAATTTTGTCACTATGTTCGACGAATTATTTTTCATCAACAAATGCTATCGGTATTTGAGACTTTTCTAATAATGTCACATTTAAAAATGATTCATATTTATATAATTTTCACATTTTAATGCTAAGGTTAGATAAGTAATTTTTAATATTCTGTTTAAATCCCTCCAAATTGGGGGAACTTTAATTCTAAGGGTGGGAAGAGTTTTAGAGGATTTTGCAAAAATCTCCAATTTCCTTCTCTAATTTTTTTAAACTCACAAACATAAAAAGAGATTAATAAAACTCTCTTATTCTCTTTCTTCCCCTCCAAAAATCAACTCACAAACAATGTTTTATAGTTCGAGAGTACGGTGCTGCGAGCCAAAAATGAAAATTATAAAGAATGAAGAGTGAAATATAAAAAAAAGTTTAAAAGTATTTTTTTTTTATCAAAAAAGAAAAAGGAGCACAAAAAATTTGGTAGGCCGAGTGTATATTAAAAATTTCATAGGAATGGCATCACATAAGAAATATTTTCCCTTTTCATTGAATAGAAAAAGAGAAAAGTATTTGTCATTTTAAATGACATAAAGTTATGTCATTTTAAGAAAGAGATATACCCATAATTTTTTTTTATTTAAAATTTAAATTTAAAAAAAAAAACAACTACTTTCTCTCCTATGATTTTCATTTCTTGTGTCTATCTCTCTCTTAAAATGACGTAATTTGTGTCATCTAAAATGACAAAAATCAAACTCATAGAAAAATATCCAATTTTCAAATGTAAATAAAAACTTTTGTCTTTATATATTTTTTTTAAAATAAATTATATTTTATTTATTTTGATTTTACAACCAACCAAAAAAAAAAAAAAATCTGCCTCAAATCCTTGCTCATCTCCGCCACCAGTGCCACCACTACCACTTCCTAGTTCCAGTTTTTTTAGGTGGCAGCCGCTGCGAACAACTTCAATCTATTTTTATTCTCGTATTATATATTATATGTTAAAGCTTTCAGTTTGGTTTCTCGTTCTCCTCGAAACTCGGTGACTCACTTGCCATCCCATTGACCCACGAACCATGCTTCCCACAGGTTCTCTCTCTATTCTTTTTGTTTCTCGTATCAATGTATTGGATAAATTAATGGTTTTTGATTGTGGGGTTTTTCATTTTTCCTTGAATTTGTGGGAACTTGATTACCTGTTATGTATGTATCCATTAGGGTCAAGAAAAACTGTCATGGGTTAGTGAGTGTTTGTTATTTAAGGTTTAAAAGGAAAGACATGTGTTGAAACTTGAAAATTATCAGACTTTAATGGGCAATCAGCACTGCTTACTTAAGAGAGCTGGTGAGGATTATTGATTACCCACAAGTTGTAGGAATTTTCATCTTTTTAGTTTTGGGTTACAAAGGAGGTCCTTGGAACTTGTTAGGGCAGGGGAATGGAGAAAGATAGGTTAAGTGTGAGCATTGAACATTTACCCTGCATCAAGAGCTTCCCAAGGAAGCTGGGTATTGTAAAATAGGTAATGGTTGTCAGGAATTAAAAAAGTTGAATATTTACACTGATGAAGACATACTGGAGATGTGGATAATGGAGATAAAAGCTTTGGAATGAAACGTTTTTGGTTAAGTTGGAGTAATACAAAGGGTATGCAACGCATGTCTGGCCAGATACAAGTTAGCAATGTTTTGGAGGTGAAGATTAGGGATCATGTCATACCACAAGTTGCACTATTTAGGCTTCTTGGTACATAAAATAGAGAAATGCTTCGAGCGCAATTTATTATCACAGAAACTGCTTATCGAACTTGAAGGAAAATTCTACGGGACAACTATAAGACTCATGATGCTCTATGGTAGTGAGCATTGCAGTAGCCATGGAAAATGGATCCTTGGGGCTATATGTTTATTCTACAGGTGAAAGGAAAGCAATAATGCCAAAAAGGAATTTGAATTCACTTTCTTTTCATTGTTTTGTTAGGCCATAAAGTTTAAAAGGAAAGATAAAGAAATAAAATTAACCCCTAAAGAAATCGCTTTAATTTAATTGCAGTGAAAATGTCATGGACTCATGGTGCATTTTTCTATTAGATGTATACTTGTAGAGCAGAATAAAGTTTTTAAGTGCTTGAACTTTTAGTTATATTAGTCCAAGGTTTATATCCTAATCCTAAATATCTAAATTTCTCTTTTTGATCAAGGTGGTGCAAAATAGTGAGACAAACTGAAACAGAGGTCTTTCGGCTGTTAGTTTTTGTAGAAGCAACTTTAATCATGCTTTGACTCTAGTCTAAACATGGCTCAACTGTATATGCAAGTTAATCTGATGCAATTTCCGATTGGGAAAACAGACATCGAATTGACACTTAATCTGAAGGTCAGCTCTGAAACAATTAGTTGTAATCTTGACATGCACTTGTCCCGTGTCAATTTATTTTTGCTTAATTAAGAATAGCAGTGAGTTTGATAAGATGCCACTGCATAAAAAATTGGGGCTGATTCATAGTTATCTCTTTTTGTGATTTTTGGACAGTTCTCATTACTTTCCTAAATGGAGCTCAATGAAGATCCTGGGCCAATTGATAATTATGTACTCTATGATCAAGATAATCATGTTTCTTCAGCAGTTTGGGATGGACAGGTGGGTGGATTTTCTGATCTATTTACAATTTCTGTTAAGTCACATGATTTTTTATTTTTCAATAATATATTATTGGATATGATCATATTATTCATACCAAATCCACAGGAGCGTGGTGTGCTTAGATGCCATGAACACACTACGATGCTTGATCAATGGAAGCTCACACCTAAACAGATTAAGTTAGTTGAGAAGGCTGGTTTTGGTTACCTACGATTACTTCCTGCTATTAGTCTTGACAATGCACTGATAGCGGCTTTGGTTGAGCGGTGGAGGAGAGAAACAAATACCTTTCACCTAACTGTTGGAGAATTGACAATAACCCTTGAAGATGTAGCATTATTACTTGGATTGGCTATTGATGGAGAACCTGTGATAGGTCCAATAAGTGCACCAAGTTCAGTTTGTGAAAAATTACTAGGGAGAGTACCAGAGGACCTGAATGGTGGAATGGTGAAGCTTACTTGGCTCAAAGAGTTCTTTTCTGATTGTCCTGAAGATGCTTCACCAGAAGAAACTGTGCGCTGTACTCGCGCTTACCTTCTATACCTAGTAGGCAGTACAATATTTTCTACAACAACTGGGAACAAAGTCCCTGTTATGTACCTTTCTTTGTTTGAAAACTTTGACAAGGCTGGGAAGTTTGCTTGGGGTGCAGGAGCATTGGCATTTTTATATAGAGCACTTGGCAATGCCTCCCTTAAATCTCAAAGCACCATTAGTGGCTGTTTAACTCTAGTACAGGTTACAACGTTACTTCCTTTTACCCTTTTTTTGGCTGATAGTTTCAGTTTGAATACTGACCAAATAGTATTATTTTTAGTGTTGGTGTTATTCTCGCCTCAATGTTGGACTGCCAAAATTTAATCAAGAACCTGATAATAATTGCTTTCCCTTTGTGCTTAAATGGAAAGGGAAAAGTGGTTCGAGGACGAAATGTAATGTAGTGTCCTACAGAAAGGCATTGGACTCTCTTAATCCTTGTGATGTAAGTGTTAATAGTGTGTCTTATTTGATAAATTAGGTAGAAGGAGATAGTAAATCTGCTTCAGTGTTAATACACAGGTACAGTGGCTTCCTTACAAGGATATGGACTGTACAACCATACCAGAAGATATTAAAACTAGTCTGATTTTACGGGAATCTAGGACTATGCTATTGTGTTTTGACAAGGCAGAAAGGCACCTTCCAGATCGTTGCTTAAGGCAATTCGGCATGCATCAAACCATCCCAAAAGATGTGGAAAGGTGGGAGAGGAAGAGCCGTATAGTGGATCATGGGGTAGACTTGATGGGGAAAATGGAGTTGGCTCTCAAAGAATGGTCAGAGCGTTGGCTTCATATTGTTGAGGGTGGTGATATTGCAGATGAAAATGAGTACATGCAGTGGTACCAGAAGATTACTCGGAAATATATTGGGAGAGTGACATCATCTCTGGAGTCAGAGTATCAGAGAACAGTAAGTGTTTACTTAGTTATCATTACTTATCTTTCACATGAATATATGTTATGAGTACTTGACTGCTACATACTTTTACAGGTTACTGCTATGAGGGAAATTGCTAACATTGCAGATATAGTCTCAACAGAAGGGTTGGATTCTAATAATAGAGATTTACTTGATGAAGTGAAAAATATTGTGCATAAATGTTTGACAGAGCAACTTGAAGAAATACCAAAGGAGAAAGTGAGAAAGAAGGGTAGTCGGAAACGTAGGCCAAAGGACCACCTGAGTATGGAGTATGAATAGCACCAGATTATAGCAGTGACTGAAGCTGATTCTGACTTTAGCCCACAGATATTTATGACTTAAGGTTGGTAAAGGACGTAAGGTATATATAATCGAACGGTGAACAACACTATAAGAACATATCCTATAGAAGAGGATGGCATATTTATTAACGATTAAAAAAAAAATTTGAGGCATTTGGAAGCAGATAGTTAGTAAGTCATTGCTGTAAAGCTCCATTTGATCTTTTAGTTCTAGGCATTTATCGGATGTTTTCTTTATTCCTTTCTTTGTTCTTGATTTATGGCCTGGTTTTAACACGTTTGTTATAGTACTATAGGGGCTGCCCTTCCTTTTACTTTCCACCATTCAAATTTACTAGAGTCGGAATTTGAGTTAAAGAAGAACACGCTACCATAACCACCATAACATATTTGTTTTTCTTTTCTTTTTTAATAAAATTTCTTAAACAGATCATATACATGACACTGGTAACATATTATAATAATTTATTCTTATTAAGTTATACCATTTGAACAATATGAAACAGTGAGAAAGAAGTTTGTAGTGTAGAAAGAACTTAGTATTACAGTATGCAGAAGCTCAAGATGCAGATGCCCAATAGAAAAATAATCCTATTAATTGCTGTTTTCTTTGAGGGGGTGTTTGGTTCAGGAAATTTTTTTGGAATAGTAGAGAAATGATTGGAAAGATAGATAAAGTGAGATAGGTAGAAAAATGTAAAAAAAAGTTGTTTAGTGGGGAAAAACTTTACTGGAAAAATTAGGTAACTTTATGAAATCAACAGTGCATTAAAAGTCAGATAATCGGTTTTCCGAAAAATCCCACCTTCAAATTAGGTTTCTAAACAGTGCGGATATCTATGTTTCTCATAAATCCAGACAAATTGGATAGATGAGTTTTTGGTGAAAAACGTTGAAACAAACATGGTGTTTCTAAAAGCCATACTTGAGAAAGATAGATATCCGCTGAAAAGCTCCCAACCAAACACCACCTGATTGATGTGGAATGTTGGGTATAGGTTAAATTTTGATTAAAGCTCATTTTGGATCCCTAACAAAAACACAGTTTCTACTTTAGTCTCTTATAAAAAAAGATTAGCCCCAAGGTCACTAAGAAAGACAAACTGATTCCACGCTAGTCTTTTTGTCAGTCAAGCTCAAACGATGTCATTAACATTGCTGACGTGTAAGGTTAAGTGAGTTGGTCACATGCCATGTAGGAAAGAGAGAACTCACACAAAACTCTCTCTCTCTTTCTAAACACACAATCTGCTATCTCTCTTTTCCATTCCTTTGGCCACCTCCTCTGTGGCTGAACCACCACAGTTACCTAAAACTTACAAACTAACAATAACTTCAATCTGGTACACCAAATCAACCTCAACCAACAGCACAATAATCTCTTCGGCATAGCACCGTTATGGAAAGGGTTTTTTGGGTCATGGGAGTTGTTCAAGGTCTGCAGAAACTAGTGTTAAGTATCATGCGCTTTTCTCAGTTTCTTTGCAATGGTCTAAAGACTCTAAATGGTGGCCAGTTAGAAGATGTGGGCTTTGTACGGATGATAAGAATTAGGCTTTGTATTAGTTGAGTCTCCTCGTGCGTAAAAACAAATTTATTCCTTTTTTACCATTTGGACTGTCATCAAATATCTGAGAATCTTTTTATTCAGATACTCATCCAGTCAATTTTTGCTAGGTGTGACCACTGCTCTAAAGCTTCTACCTATAGCCTTATTTCTCAGGTACATTAGGGTTTATCAGGGAGCTTACACTTGTAGTGCCACACATGGATGATAGTTCTGATATGAAAATAAAAATGGATACAATTCTCCAAAGTGTTATGAAAATAGAGAACGGTAATGTATTGGCGTTTGAAATACTGTTGCAACACCAATGTTTGTATCTATTAAGCTTGATGCCTTAAAATTTTACTGGAGGCACTAATAGAATAATCTAGCAACTGAATTGTATTTAAGTCTAAAGCTATTCCCACTCTATAATAATGATACTTGCTGCAGCTACTAGTATTTGTATGATAACACCTTTGTAATATGTTTAGATATGGCACTCCTAAAATTTCGAAAAGAGCTGACAAAATGGGCTTAGCTCGCCGGGTCGGCTCAGTCCACCCGCCCGCCAAATGGGGCGGGACGGACTGAGTTTTTCAAACCCGTTGCCCGCCAAGCCTGCCAGCCCGCCTGGACTGTTTTTTTTTTTTTTTTTTAACTTTTAGAGTAAAATGTTACGGTTTGAGATTTCTAGCCCACCTTCAAAGGCGGGGCGGGAGGCAACCCGCTTTGCCACCTCTACCTGAGGAGAGATCATGAGTTCTAGCTTTCTAGGCCACCGGGTGCATGAGTGATTATGATAATTCCTACCTGCATAATCTGCTCAGATAATGTGCAATGACGGACACTTTATATTTTCCTAAAAAGTCAAAACCCTTGATAAACCCTTGTGTGACAGCAATAGAAATGTTGATATTTAAGTTTTTAATTTGTATCGAAAACCCAAATTTCAAATAGTTTTGTCTCCCCATCCCACCCAGACAAAAAGTGAAGTGAGAGAGAGAACATTGTTTATGATCTTCTCACAGTGGCGGACCCACTTGCGGGCAAATGCCCACAAGTCCGGTCATAAATATTTTTACTTCAGCCTTTTTTTTTTTTTTTTGGTTATTGGTGCTTATTTGTCTCTTGATTCAATATATATATTAAGAGTAAATACTCTTTTAAGTCCCTAACAAAAAAACATGGTCCCCATTTTAGTCCCTTACAAAAAAAAATAGTCTCGAGGTCCCTAAAAATCTTAAAGTTGATCAATTTAGTTAAAATCATGGTCTCTCATAAATTCAAAAAAGACCTACATTAGTTCCTCAAAAAGACCAAAATGAGTCCACTTTGAATTTCATATGGATCAGGTGACTAATTTTTTTTTTTTATAATAAACTAAAGTGTTAATCGAGTTTTTTGTTAGAGACCAAAAAAGATATTTATTCTTAGTTAGTAACGTAATAACGTACGGAGATAATTAAAATAATGTAGCAACGCAAATTGATTAGAGAGAAAACTTATTATTTCTCCCCTGTCACGTACTCATTTCCCATGCTCTCTTTATCATTTGTTTCTTTTTTTATTTTTATAAAAAGAGATGATTGATTGCAAAAAAAAATCGGAGGCGCTGCCCCCGAACCCCGCCATTAAATATGCAGACATAAAAAACTATTCCTGGTCCGCCACTATCTTCTCATATATACATATTTTGCAGGGAATCTTTATAACATATGTTGTTTTTGTACCTTGCTTTATTCCTTTCTAATGAAAGGTCTCCTTATCTTATACCAGTTATCCATTAGACGCTTTGTGAGATATAAGTAGATGAGCGAATAGTCTACTGGAAGGTTTTGAAGGTTTGTATCACTGCATGGATCAATATCAACAATATTTTGTATAAGCTGCACTTGACAATCGACAATGAGGTTTACAGTCTACAGATGATTCTTAGCAAAGATGACATGTATGGTTGTCATTTTTTGAGCATTTCACATAATGTTATTGAGCTTACACTCAATCTTCTTTGATCATATGTTATTTTTGTATTTCTATATATTTTTCTTCTTAGAATGCGTATCCATATCCATTAAATTTCACACTGTTAAACTAAATTCGAATGTGAAGAAGAAAACACCGAAAAGTGGAAATTTTACGTATCAACTCAAATACGTGTGCAGTTGCTGATCAAAGAACTAAAATTGAACTTATCCAGAAAACGTGGCTGCTGTGGAGCTAGCCATAATAGAATTAAAGGAGTGTGTAAATGCCAACAGAGGTTTCAGTAAAAAGGTAGAATCATGAATGCTATAATCGTGTTCCATAAAAAGTGCTTCTTCTGAATTACTTTCAAGACATTTCTTGAAGAAAATTGTCGTTAAGTCGGCTAGTGTCTGTAACGCCCGACCGCTTCAAGAATCAATGACTATTTTCACATACTAACACGAGATTTTTCAGTGTGCTTTTTTCTCACTCGCACACTTCTCGAGAAAACTTCCCAGGAGGTCACGTATCCCAGAATTGCTCCAAGTCAAGCACGCTTAACTGTGGAGTTTTCCGATCCGGGCTACCGAAAAGCAGATGCATCTTGTTAGCATAGGTTGTACCAATTAATTCTTATAAGTTATCCCAAACTATGCAGTCTCATACCTGCACAGCCTTTGGAATCCTTCTCTTTCGGGTGTCGATTCGATTCATTCATGCATGTAACCCCACGCTGGAAGCCTGTCAGGAGCCGCTCCTTGTCCGTGTCTCTTTGCACCGGCGATCACTCCCCGCCCTCGTCAGCGCTCGGGATGTTAGAGTGTCCAATTCAGAGTATATCTTGTGCTTATCTATAATTAATAGTAATGATATATTATACCCTTAGTCTTATCGATGCACAGATTTTGTGTCAACCTTTTGTTTCAACCATAAATCTTATTGTGTTCTTCCATTGGTTCAAGTGATGTATATCAATTTGTATAAAGTCTGTAAGTTTCTCGTGACTTCAGTAACCAAAAGAGAAAAGTTTTTTCGTGACTTAACTTCAATTGCTCGTTGGTAGATCGTGAATTTTAATTGATTATTTGTTTGAACATTTTATATCTGATATTTTCTGAAAGTGTCTCTTTGTTTAGCTCAAATATTTTAGGAATGTGAAAGGCTTAAACCCCCGAGAAGTTTTCACCAAACAAGTGATAGTAAACATGGACCTTCGAGGCTTTGTTTGAGAGTTTGTAGGAAAAGAAAAGGAAAAGAATCCAAGGGGAGGGAGGAAAAGAAAGGGAGGAAATCAAAAGGTATTCTCTTCTCTGTTTGGGAGTTAAAAAAATCGTAAAGGAGAAATTGAAGGGTTCATAATATAATTTTACAATTTTACCTTTTTTTTAAAAATCGTAAAGGAGAAATTGAAGGGTTCACAATAAAATTAAATTTAAATTTCTTTTAATTGTGTATTTTTCACATTACTAAAAAAGATCATATTTTGTTATCAAAAAAAAAAAAAGATCATATTTTGTTTACCAAAAAAAAAGAAGATCATATTTCTTGTACAAAAAAAAAACATATTTTTGACAAAATTTCTACGTTGCAAAACGACGAAAATTCCGTCAAAAAATTTATATTTTCGTCGAAATATTTTTCGTCAAAAAGCGATTGAATTTTTATCAGATGAAATTTTTTACAGAAATAAATTTTCTATTAAAATTTTTGACTGAATTTAGTTTCCGTCAAAAATATTGACGAAAATGATATCTGATATATTTTTGACAGAAAATTTTTTTATCAAAAGTTTTGACAGAAAAAGAAATTCCGTAAAAAAAATTTGACGGAATATTTTGTCCAAATTTTTCAATGGAAATGTGTTTTGACGAAAATTTCAATGAAAATTTTTTTGTCAAAAAATTTGAGGAAAAAGTTCCTGTCGAAACTGTAACGCCCGACCACTTGCAAGAATCAATGACTGTCCTCACACACTAACACGAGATTTTTCAGTGTGCTTTGTCCTCACTCGCACACTTCCCGGGAAAACTTCCCAGGAGGTCACCCATCCCAGAATTGCTCCAAGTCAAGCACGCTTAACTGTGGAGTTCTTCCGATCTGGGCTACCGAAAAGTAGATGCATCTTGTTTGTATAAGGAGTACCAATTAATTCTTATAAGTCATTCCCAACTGTACCGTCCCATACCAGCACAGTCTATGGAATCCCTCTCTTTCGGGTGTTGATTCGATTCATTCATGTACCCCCGTCCCTAGAAGCCTGCCAGGAGCCGCTCCTTGTCCATGCCCTTTCGCACCGGCAATCACTCCCCGCCCTCGTCAGCGCCCGAGATGTTACATGCCCACCAGCTTCCGCCTGGTTCGTCCTCGAACCACACCGTACTAGAAGAGAGGCCCTGCTCTGATACCATAAAAATTACATGTAGTTAAATAATTAAGCATATTTTAGTGAGTAAAATTAAGTATAAGGCTTAATGAAATGAATCTGAGTCACTTTGGAGTTAAAAAGTGTACTCAGCGAAAATTAAGGGGTATAAATGGATACTGGCGAAAGTGCCCAAAATATAAAAATAAAATTATAAATATTCCTATAATAAAATTCCAGACTTTTGGGTAAAGTTTGGTAATTAATGGAGTTGAATAGATAGGCGAACTAATACCCACATGTTACCACTTAACCTATGTTAAGTGATAAAGTAACTAAAGGAACCCAATTCCCTCCCCAAACCCGTCGACGCCAGATAATAGAGAAGAAGAAAAAGAAGAAGAAAGGGAGAGAGAAGAAGAGAGAGAGGAGGGAGCAAATCCCAACCGTTTTGGGTGATTCAAAAGCCTAAACCACTCTAAATCTTCCCCTCTTTCATAATCCTAGCTTAGTTTTGAGTGGGGAGCATTGTGGAGAGAGATATTGCCTCTAAAAAATTTGGCCCTTTGTGAGATTTTGGGGTTTTGGGAATTTCTACCTCCATGGGAGCTTGAGGAGCGCTCCTTGCTTGGTTGTGCAACCATTGGTGGTAAGATTCTACCCCTTGAACCTTATTTTCATGGAAAATTGCATGAGTTAGGGTTTATGAATAGTGTTTTAGGGTTTTTGATGAAATGTTGTTAAATTAGCTATGTTCTAGGAAGAATGGAGCTTAGAGCATGTTGTGAAAAATGCTAGGAACATTTAATCGGTGAAAATGAGCTTAGATAGCTAAGTGAGTATATTTGGAAAATGGCAAGAATATGACACTTAGAGATTGGATTTCTTGCTTTGTTAATAAATGGTTTGGTTGGTTGTTGATTATGCCTTGGTGTTGTCTAGGATTGAGGCAATTGGACCAACCTTGAGAGACCAACCATTGGAGCAAGCTATGGAGCTTGATTAGCTCCATTGGATAGGTAAGTTCATGCTTATGTTTGATATGAATTGTATAGCTTGGTTGATAGCTATGAGATGTGATTGGATGCAATATGTGTTAATTGCATAAAACCTTGTGTAGGTTTTGTTTGGTGAGTGGATAATTGTAACTGGTTGCAGAAACTGTTGGTGGGAACAAAGGTTGGCTAAAGCTTGAGGTAAGCCTTCGGACCTTGGGAGTAATTCCCTTGACTGTTCTACCAAGCCCTGAAAGGGTAGAGGTTGTGATTGTGTATATAAATGCAATAAAATAGTGTAATGCTTTGTTATACGTATGTGTATGCATTTGGTGTGGCATAGGATGGTGTTTCCCTATGTTGGTATGTTGCATGACGATGCGTAAATCATACTTGGTAGTTAGCTGGCCAGTAGGACTATTTGCATCTGAGTTTCCTTAGGACAGCTTGAGAGCTCGAGGGATTTCTCCTGGAGATGTGTTGCACTTTGCATAGATATGTATTTACTACATTATTATTGTTATTGCTATTACACTGATATGGAACTGTGGGGTGGAGAGATGCTCCAAGGACCCCTGGTTTACTAGATATATTCGTATATCTCACCCCGTGTTGTGGGGACCCCCTTTCAGGTAAGGATGCTGCAGGAGCCTCTGATGGCAAGTGGCCTTATTTGCAGTAGATCATGCATGAAGAAAATGATGTTTTGAGATCATACATGTTGTTTTGTAGATTTACATGTATAGGATTGATCATTGATAGCATTGACGTATGTATATCTCGTTATATTTGATGGACTTAGCCGATGATCATGCCATTGGATATCTCTTTGGTTGATGAGAGCCAAGAGATGATCATAGCCTTTTGTAGCTAAGTCCCCCGTTATGTAATTAAACTTGTATTAATGCTATTTACTTCAAGGATATGAATGCATGATGAATATTGGATTGTTGAGCTGGAAATTATATTAGGTACCTAGTGCTAAATTGGAAAATGTTGAGAAAACAATTACATCCCGTCCGGTTGACCAATTTTCATACCCAATGTGATGGAATTGGACTTTGATGTCTCTATGGAAGTTGTAGACATTTCTCTTAGCTTTCCATAGAGACCAAAACGGTGTAATTTGAGTGAGTATAGCTCAAGTTATGAGTGGAAAACCATAGGTAGGTTAAATGACCTTGTTTTGGGTCACCCAGCCCTGTGGATGGCGCCTGGGGCGCCAGATTCACGCTTGGGGCGCCAAATTACGATATCAGACAGTAGCATGCACGCTTGGGGCGCCAGATCCACGCTTGAGGCATCAACTTTCTGTTTTCCCACGCTCTGGGCGTGGATCTCACGCTACGGGCGCGGGGGTTCTGGAGGTTTCGCACCATTTTCTTAGAAAATGCATAACTTTGGCTACGGTGCTCCGATTTGAGCGCGGTTTGAACCCACGCGTAGCTAATGAAGAATCCTATAACATAATAGAAGATGGGAATCATAAAAGGAGTTTAGAATTAATTTGATAATTAAAGTGATGAAGACATTTAACGACGTATTGTCAAGTAGAATGGGAATATAATATTAAGTTTAGTCCCACTATTCCGCAAAGTATATATAGTTACGATCACGCACTTGGTTATTTAAATCCGGCTTGTTTAAAAAGGAAAAATTTATCCGGTTTTCTAATTGAACCAATGTGATTGTAACTGCGCTTAATGTCGTACGCAATGATAACAATCCGGTTCTAGAACGGGGTGTTACAGAAACTTTCTACGGAATTTATAAAGAATTTTGACGAAATATTTTTTCGTCGATATTTTTTACAAAAATGTTTTTTGTTAGAAAATTTTACCTAAATATTTTTTGTCAAATTTTTTGACGAAAACGTGTTCCGTTGAAAATTTTGTTAGAAATATTTTTTATCGAAAACTTTGACGGAAATATTTTTCGTCGAATTTTTTTTTATGAAAATGTGTTTCGTCGTAAATTTTGAGGGAAATATTTTCACGAAATTTAGATTATGTAAAGAATTTTGACAAAAAAAAATTTCCTCTGAATTTTTTACTGAAATATTTTTCATCACAAATTTTTACAGAAATATTTTGCATTAGAAATTTTGATGAAAATATTTTTCGTAAAAAAATTTGGCGGAAATGTTGTCCGACAAAAATTTTGACGAAATTATTTTTCGTCGAAAATTTTTATGGAAATGTGTTTCTTCAAAATTTTCAACAGAAATATTTTTCGTTAAAAGTTTGTCAAAAATATTTCCATTAAAAGTATCGACGAAATTTAGATTCTACAAAAATTTTGACTAAATATTTTTTTTTTCGCAAAATATTTATGCTAGTGATTATGGTCAAGTCTTGTTCCGTCTCTAATTTCGTCTTTAGTTTCGACAGGAAAAAAACTTTGTCTCTATTTTTGATGTTATATGATTTTCATCCAAAATTTCGACATAATATAAATAATAACATTAATAAAATTTAGAGTCACCAACCTAAAGTTTGATTAATATAAATACTGCATTAATAAAATTTAAGACCACTAACTTAATTTTTTTTAATATACTTAATATAACACCAACATCAACTTAATAATATCATTAATAAAGAGTTAAGGCAACTAACCTATAATTTTAATTTTATTAATATAAATACCACATTAATATAATTTAAAGTCAATAATCTAAGGTTTTAATAATATAGATTACAACCTTCAAAAACTAAATAATAACATTCATAAATTTTAAGGTCACTAACCTAAAGTTTTACTAATATAAATACCACATTAAAAAAATTTCAAGTCAATAACCTAAGATTTAATAATATAGATATGCAACCTTTGAAAACTAAATAATAACATTAATAAATTTTAAGGCCACTAACCTATAGGGTTATTAATATAGTTGTTTTGGTAAGCATATTTTTATTAATATAAATACCATATTAATACAATTTCAAGTCAATAACCTAAGATTTTAATAATATAAATATACAACCTTTGAAAACTAAGTAATAACATTAATAAATTTTAAGGCCACTAACCTAAGGTTTTATTAATATAAATACCACATTATTACTATGTAAAGTCAATAACCTAAGCTAACCTAAGGTTTTAATAAACCCTTTAAGAATTTAATTTTATAACATGGTAATTTTTTTGGGCTACCCTAAGTTAACCAAATAAAATAAAAATTATTTAAAATCATATTTGCCGGGAATGAAGAATGAAGCACAAGCGGTGCAAACTTTTAACACCGAGATAGAATTTCAAACTGTTGTAAAAATTTTTTACGCTGGGACAAAAATTTAAACTAATGTAAGGAGAGGGATATAAACTGAGAATGAAAATAGACAAAAATTCAAACTGATGGAGGGAGAGGTATATGAACCGAGAATGATACAGAGAGGTATATGGACAGAGAATGAAACGTGAGATAATAGCTGGGGTAAGGAGAAAGGTTAACCGCGTGGGAAATATATAGACAGAAAACAGCACTGTAAATATTGCATCTAGAAGCGGCAAGTCCAGTGCCATTTTTAGGTCTGATGCGTTACATTGAAGACAACAATTTGGACTAGTCAAATACGTTTGGTGCAGAGACTAATAAAGTCAAATATCCCAATTTCAAGGCTCTGGGCCACTCACAATAGTAAATATCACTTGGTCTTCTGATAAGTTTAGTCTCGAGAATTAAAACTTGATTATACGTTCCTAGCAAAAATATCAGAGGTGTCGTGATATACAATACAATTTCTTACTTACGGAAAAAGTTTCAGCGGTGCGGAGTGTAAATAAGTAAGGTTAGGTTTTGTGTAAAATTCTTTAGGACTGACCTAATTTTTTAGTTTGTGTATGTCTAAATTACAAGTCTGATCTAACCCCAGAGAGAGATACCCGCGTGCACATAGAATTCATAGGGCCTGTATTTAAAAAATAAAAATCTTGACCTAGGTCTATTAATCTGTTTAAGCTGAATATAAATAATATGATAGGTCGGCCTATAGGCTTATAGCCTGAAATGTACAAAAAAAACATATGATCTATTTTTTAAATAGATTTTAAAAAAAACTTAGGCTTGTTCTATTTGACTATTTGTAATAGGTTAAGTTTGACGTAATATAAACTAGGTTGTAGGCCCCTATAGACCGACCTAACTCATTTACATCTTTGATCCCAAGACATGAATCAGTTGGTCGAGCCAATAAGAATGGAACAACAATTAGGAACCATGTACAGAAAACAAAAACAAAATAAAATTTACAAATATTAATTTCTTGAACAAAGTCAGGAGCTCTAAGTTCTTTCTCATCAAGTATGAACTCGGTGGTAGGGGTGACAATTTGGATTGACCCGCCACCAACCCGCCAAAAACGGGGAGGGGCGGGTTGGCCCGCCGTTGAGTATGTGTTGAAAAATTGAACCCACCCCGTTTTATGGTGGGTTGACGGGTCAACCCACCAACCCGCCAATTAAAAAAAAATTAATTAAAATTTAAAATAAAATTATATTTTATGAATTTTTCTAATATTTTTTTTCATACTTCTCTTAATTTTTTTCACTCTCAATCTTAAATGTAAATTGGTTTGAATTTAGATTCACTGCGGCCACCACCAAATTTGAAATTAGTAGTGTAAAACTTGGCCCCGACTCGGCCGGGTTGACCCGGAACCTCATTGAACCGGTTATCAGACCGATTCGAGTCAAATATTATACCGGTCATGCATTAGACCCGATCAAAACCTAGCCAAACTCAGTCAAACCTAATCATGACTCGGTGAATGGTTCATGCATTTTTATAAATAAATAAAAAGCAAAACTGTTTCATCTGAATTGAAAATATATTTTTTGGTGGCCTCACTTCATTATGCTTTATGTGAATTGATCGGAAAAGTCATGGTTCACTTTTGGTTTCAAGATTGAAAATTCTCGTGCCCACAGCGCAGTCCGGTCTTCAGAGTCGTGTTCTCTGTTGTGGCTTTAAAGAATGGGAAAACATTCAGTATAGATAATGTCACATTAATGGCATCATTCTCAAACAATCTTTATTTCATTTTATTTTGTAATCTTTTATCAAATATAGTCTAAGATGAATGGCATCTATATCAATGTCACATTATTAATACTTGGAGGCACTAACAGAAGAACTAAAAAAATTTGTCATCTTAAACTTTCATTGTTCTGAATCCAGTATTCCATCTCCCCCTTTCTGCTTAGTTTCCATTTTTATTTTTATTTTGGTAACAGCTTAGTTTCCATTTATTTGTGCTTTCTTCATGCTCCAAGCACTCAATCTTGTGATCTTGACATCAGCAGTTCCATTATTAAAAACGTACACTCGTGCTTTATCATTGATTGCCAATGTGGGATAAACTCTTGCTGTGATGCAAGCCTTTCCTTCTCCTCCAAAACTCTCTACAACAGAATGATCAATCTGCAAAAGAGACGGAACTCATGCATTAGAAGGGTAAAATGCAAACATGATGAAAAGGGTAATGGAAAAATACCTAAGTCCTCATGTTGATATGGTAAAGTACATTTTAGTTTGAAGATTGACTTTTTATGTTCGAATAAAGTTTACTCATCATATTTCCAAAAAAATTAAATAAAATAAAATTCACACATAATAATATCGCAGGGTTTCATAAATTAAACCTTTTTATTTCAATAAATATGGTCACACTGGTACAACTTTAGTTTGAAGAAAGTCAGTGCATCATAAAATGTCAAGGCATTATAAATTGAAACTTTTTTAAATTAGTATGATCGTGCACTTGTCCTGACTTTTTATGATTGAAGAAAGTTTAAGCATATGCTCTTAATAGGGTTTATCATCTATCATTTAACATGATCACAAAAAGTTTCATATATACACAACATTTTGTAGGACCCGCAGCAAAAAAAAAAAAACTTCTACACGCAAAACGAATCTCTATAACATAAAACAATCACTTTTCCTACAAGATAATTTTTATAAAACCCCTCTAAATAATATAAAAAAAAAAAAAAGCTCGTGCATCTTAATCATAAATTGGAACTTACCAAAGTTCTCAAAGACAGCTTTTCATGAAGAGGGTCCACGTCCACAAAAGTTCCATAAGTAGTCATATCGTTATCTTTATTCAAGGAAGACCTGTCAAAGGTGAATTTTTATATTAGAGAAAAGTTAAAACTCGCGTTTGGAGAGAAGCTGAGTTGATGTAAATAATTAGACAAACCTGCTTTGGTCACTGCACAAGAGCACCAAATTTTTGTGTTGGTATCTGAGTATTCTGAAGAAAACTGATGTGTACTCTTGCAATCCCTTTGAAGCAAAAACTAGCAAACCAAACGGTCCTAGTCCACTTTTAACTGCTGAACCCTTTCGGCTACATAGAATTTGGGGGTCTGTCCAATAGTCTAATACGTCAGCCTTTTCAATCTTGTTCACTTCAAATGCAATTTCAACATCAGCCTGCAAAGACAAATGATATATTAATCTATTTTGAAAATAATCATACACATTTTATTACTGTGGACAATTCATCCATATTCTATTCTTAATTTCCCCTTTTAATATTATCAATTATTGGAGGATGATTGAGTGATTTGATTTAGAATATGATAATCAGTAATATAGAAAGCAGCAAATGTCCCACAGAAACTTCATTTCATTAAAGCAGCAAAATTTATAACAAGTTGTTGAGAAAGTAATAATGCTATTTAAATTACTACTGTACATATAATTTTGCACGTGCATCGGTTCTATCTTAGTTCAAATAACCTCGATTAAACATCTTATTATTAAATTCTAGAACCTTGTGGATGACAGACAGATATATATATATATATATATATATATATATATATATATATATATATATATATATATATATATATATATATATATGGGTCAGGATCATTTTACATAAGTGTAAGTTACACTCTTAATCTTGTTCGTTAATCTCACTTATATCTAAGGGCTCAAATTTTTTAGTAATGTGAGCCATTGGATACAAGTGGATCAATTGTCAAGATTGAATGTAAGACTTCTAACTCTTATACCGGTGTAACAATATCTTGCCCCTATATATATATATATATATATATATAATATGATAGCATTACTCTTACTAGAGTGTAACAAGTTAAACATACCTGTGCCGCTGTGACACCGTTAATTTGAAGCAAATCACCACCCTTGAGCACTTTGGTGGGCCACTTGACTGGGTTTGCACGTAGCTTTTCAATTTCCACCACTGGCCATTGTACCAACTGCTTACCAGACTTATGCAGCCAGATAGCTCTTGGAATTGCCTGCAAATACACGTGAATCGGTGAAATTTTATCCCATTGCATTAAATAATTATTTCACCTAAAAATTTAAGCTAATAAGGCTTTTTAATAATTTTATATTAACACATCCTTTCATGAAAAAAAAAAAAAAAAAATTATACTTGAAGTGCAGATATAATACAAACTTATTTTTTAATTGATTTTATCTTGTAGTGACTTAATTTTAAAGCAATGAAAATTTTACCTAAAAGTTCAGATGATGAGTGATGGAACTTAAAAGTTTTATATTATATCTATGCACATTGTTTCACATAAACTGCTTCAAGTCAACATCGTTTGTTTAGAAAAAGAAAAAAGAAAAACTGGAGCCCAACTCTCTTGTCATTGTTGAGCTGGCTCATGTTATATTAAAACCATAAACCATACCCTATAAACTAACGTAACAACTAAAAAAAAAAAATACTTTTTAATTTATTCAAGTCTTGTCTTGATTTTAGATCAAATGAACAAACCAATAATAAATAATTACGAAATTGCAACCAACTCACTTGAATTCCAGACCATCCTTTCTTCATATCATCAGCAACACTCGAGGATTCGTTGACCCAACCTAGCAAAATCCTTCTGTCATTTCCCTTGTCAAAGAACGTTTTTGATGCATAGAATTTTCCATAATCATATCTCAGAACAAATTCAGTTTCCTCAAATCCTTTATCCGGGATAAAGATATCCTTGGCAGCAACATAAGTTCCAACTAGATAGTAATCATGTTTTTTATCATCCAAGCTAACCTTGAGTACATGCCTAACATCATCACCATTCACAGATGTGTCAAGACCCAATGGGCTCTTATCCAAAACAGGAAAGAAATCAGGGCACTCCCACATTCCAGTGCCTTGGGCTGAATGTAAAGGGTGTTTGGCTCGAGCCCAATTAACAAAGTCCTTGCTTTTGAACAAAATTGCCATTCCCAAAGTGTTTATTTTGCTCCCAACAAGCACCCTCCAATACCCATCTTGGCCTAGCCAAGCAGTAGTTGGGTCTCTAAATGAACTTGCATTGATCTTGTTAGCACTAGTTGGTGCCAATAGAGGATTTTTAGCTGACTTAACCCATTCCCTAAGAAATGGGTCAGACAAATTTTTGGGGTAGGCCAAGTTTTGAACTTGATGATTCAGGGGATCAATTCCTGTGTATAAAATGGCGGGTTTGCCCCCATGAAGCATTGTGGCTGACCCTGACCAACAACCATTGATATCAGACGGCTGAGATGGGTAGATGGCAGGATCTAGTGGGGTCCAATTCACGAGATCCTTTGATACAGAGTGGGCCCAGATAATATTTCCCCAAACTGCACCTTTAGGATTGTATTGATAGAACAGATGGTAAACTCCTTTGTATCTCATTGGTCCTACATAAAAGCCACATATAAAGACATTTTATTATTTTTCAGGCAAAAATAATCAGAGATGGGACCCAAAAAAAAGCATCAACTTGTGAATTCCTTAAACTATCATATGCATGCATTGTGTTTATAATATAAAAAAAAGGCCCACCAAGTGGAAGGAAACGAACTTCTTTATCAAATATATACGCTCATTTTATTTAACCCTGGCCCTGCTATAAAGAATATGCCTCTATATATGCACATTATATTATGATTTCCATACAGCTTTGGAACTGCCTTTGAATAAACTCTTGGATACATTGTAATTTTCTGCACTCTTCCTAGTTTCTTATTTTATGTTTGAACATTTCAACCATACTGACTAAGCTCTACGGAAATTCTTAAATCATATTGTTATCTTCTGAAATGTGTAGACCATGAGAATAGGGATGATGATATAATATGATGGATTGAAGGAAACTGCCAAAAAAAATTAGTATACTGAGGAGGATCCATAAGAGAATAGAACTCACCATTAGGATCTACAAGTCCATATTCAACCAGATGTCCATTTCAGAGTAACATGTCAAGGGACAAAAACAAGAAGCAAAAGAAGAACTTGTTAGAGATATAAATTCCAATAAAAAAGAAATGAAAAGAAAATAAAGGAAGGAAGAAAGGGTAAGAGAAAATTTGAAGGAAATGTATTATATACCATTTATCCAATTCTTAGGAGGTTGGAAATGATAAGCAGTTCTGTAAGGTTGATTGGAGGAATCAGAAGATAGACTCTGAAGATTTCTGTAAACATAGTGGGTAGCTTCAATGGGAAGAACACCACAGCCATAAATGAGAGAAAAGAGAACACACAGCCAAATAGTAGAGATAGTCATGGTTGTTATGTGAGAATGTGGAGGGTGCTTTGATATCTATTTATATAGAGAACAACACTGTTGGCTAAGAAATTTGTGAAAGAGAAAGGATAGTAGTAGTCACGGCATACCAAATAACTTTGTTCAATAAATATGAGATTATTCATAGAAAATTCAAAGATCATGTCAGAGAAGTAACTAGGAAAGTAAGTAATCTTATACGTCAAATTAGTATCATAATTTAGAAATTTTAGAAGTCAACGATCGAAGAGGATCAGCCCTATGTTTTCAAGCTATCGAGAAGAAAATAATATATATATATATATATATATATATATATATACAAATATGATATTAATGTTTCTTATTACATTGCAACTACCCTGGTTGTTAACAATTGCTAAATATATAAATTTAATGACCAAAAGAATCACGACTTAGGAGTTTGAAAAATGAAAATTTAAAATGAATAGATTAAGGGCCGTCTCCCCTCTTTACGGAAGGAGAACATGGCAACCCGAACATCAATATGGTTGTATGGGCCACCCAGTACCACACAATTTTGAAATAGAGTGACGATCTTTTAATTCTTATATAAGATTAAAAAATTTTACTCTTCATTTTAGCTTTTGATTTTTATTATTTCATGTCTGTAATTTACTGAATTATATTAGAGATATATAAAATTATTAATATAGTATCACCCAACAACTTAAGCTTTTGGATTGAATTGATTCTTTATATGGTATCAGAGTCTCGATGTCACAGATTCGATCATTACCGTCTCCCATTTAATTAATAATGAATCAAATCTCATGGAGTTTTATAGTACAGGTAGGTGTGTATGTGCATTGTTCATCTTTCAAACCCAATGAACTATCATGTGAGGGGGGCATAATAGAGATATGTAAAACTATTAATATAATCTCATCCAATAACTTAAGCTTTTAGTTTGAATTAATTCTTTATATATCTATTAATTAATCATTAATTTTAAATAAATTACAACTGTCAAATGGATATAATCAACCATTAAAATGAAAAATAAGACTTCTTAATGTTATATGAAGTCAAAAATTCTCCCTCAATGAAATAAATAAGTACATACGAAAGTAACCCCTATCACGAGTGAAAGCATATGTATTAATTTTATCAACCCCCGTATCAAACATGAAAGATTCACGCGAAATTTATTCTAAACCCTACACATGCGTTAATGTACATGTGGATCATAAATACTTATCTCTGTATAAATATATTTAAAATTAATTAGTGCAATTTTTAGCGTACGTCAGCTTACGCCTTCAAAATAAATTTTCTTTCTCTGATCATTTGTTATATTTGTATTTACTATTTGTGTTCTTAGAATGCGTATCCATATCTATTTGTTAAACCGAATTCGAAATGTGGAGAAGAAAAACCCGAAAAGTGGAAAGTTTCGTGAAATTTTACGTATAAACTCAAGTACGTGTGCAATTGCTGATCAAGAAAAAAGAAGGGAACTAAATTGGACTTATCCAGAAAACGTGGCTGCTGTGGAGCTAGCCATAATAGAATTAAAGGAGTGTGTAAATACCAACCAGAGGTTTCAGTAAAAAGGTGTAATCATGAATGCTGTAATCGTGTTCAATAAAAAGTGCTTCTTCTGAATAATTGCTTTTAAGACATTTCTTGAAGAAAATTGTGATTAAGTCGGCTAGTGTCCAACTCGGAGTATATCTTGTGCTTATCTATAATAATAGTAATAATATAATATCCCCTTAGTCTTATCGATGCACAGATTTTGTGCACTGATGTGTCAACCTTTTGTTTCAACCATAAATCTTATTGTGTTCTTCCATTGGTTCAATTGATGTATATCCATTTGTATCAAGTCTGTAAGTTTCTCGTGACTTCAGTAACCAAAAGAGAAAAGTTTTTTCGTGACTTAACTTCAAGTTGTTCATTGCTCAGTGAATTTTAATTGATTTGTTTGAACATTTTTAGTTATTATCTGAAAGTGTCTATTTTTTTAGCTCAAATATTTTAGGAATGTGTATCATTCATGGTCGATACGGTAGTTGTTGGACGACAACGTCATAATGGTCCAGGTTCAAATGCTGGTAGAGTAATAATGGTCTCGATTTTGATCATGTCTCATATATATATATATATATAGATTGATCTTTGTCATTTTAAATGACATTAGTTATGTCATTTTAGGAGAGAGATAGACAGGAAGAATGAAAATCACGAGGGAGAAAGTAAGTAGTTTTTTTATTAATTTAAATTTTAAATAAAAAATATTATTTTGTGTTTTTCTCTCTCTTAAATTGACATAACTTTATGTAATTTAAAATGACAAACATTTTCTCCTATATATATATAGAGAGAGAAAAATGTTTATCCTTTTAAATGACACAATTTATATCTTTTCACTCTCACAAAGAGATGAGACCCAGACTTTTATTTTTATTTTTATCAATTCTCTCTCCTCCTTTATCTATCTCTTCCTCTCTCTTAAAATGATACCTCCCTAATTTGTACCCAGAAATCTATTAGGCCATCAAGAGCTATTTTTAGATTTTATAATCTCTTTTAAACAATATATGTCGGTTTTAATTTTCAAAAGGATGAGCTGTGAGCAAATATATGGCATTTCCCATCATCGTTTCGTGTCATCGTTTCGTTTCAATTTTCAAAGGATAAGATTAAGAGTATAACTTACAATGGAGTAAAATAATCTTGACCTATATATATATATATATATATCAAATATGTACAAACAAAACAGATATAAATTAACCACTGAAAGGATGTGGTATTATATATATACTAGACACACAATTTAATTAAGTGTTAATTTATTGTTTATACATTGCATTTTATTTTATTTTTTGGATTTAAGGATGGTGGCAAGTAGTCTATTTTTTTTATACATAAGCATATATATATATAAAAATTTAATTTTAGAGTGCAGGTAAAATCTACGATTTATATTACGATTTTACGATTTACGATTTTTTATTCCCTTTTTGATTTTAGATAAAATTCTGATTTTGACTACCTTGATTATAACCATCATTACAAATATCTACACATTATCTCGTCACCTATTAAGAATATTTGGACTTTTGCTATTCAAAAGGGCTTAATTAATATGTGAAGAGTACAGACAGAATTAAAGATCTTTGTTTACTATATATATGTAAGCATATGCAGTGTTTAGTCATTATAACCATCATTACAAATATCCACCCATTATCTCGTCACCTATTAAGAATATTGGACTTATGCTATTCAAAAGGGCTTAATTAATACGTGAAGGTACAAAACAGAATTAAAGATCTTTGTTTATGATAGAATCACAGTTCTACTATAGGATAGGGATGAGGAAATGGGGAAGATTACGAACAGGGAAAGAGATGAGAGAAGAATCAAGAATTTTATTCATATTTTTTCTGCTCAGCTACAACCCTTGTTCCTCTATTTATATTCAGAGGGAACAAGTTAGTTACAACTTCTTGTAACTGTATTATCTACAAGCGATTGATAAAAATCAGTACAGCAAACAACAATTAAGCTATTCCTACTTACATACAAATTCTTCATCATTGAATCGATTGGGTTTCCTTACAACTCTTCTGGGTCTCCTTTCTGCTATGGGCTGTCTAGCTTCCAGCTCCACTGATCCATCTTGAATCCTTGTATCAGCATGCATCCTTGAATCTCCTTCTCCTTCTTCGTTCAGGTTCAACAGGTCCTCTGAGAGTTCTCCAGATCTTGACTCAGAGAGTACCACTTGACTTCCATCTGTCGGTTGTGCATTTTGGGTTGGGTTGTTGCTCATTTTATCCGGGCTTGGGTCACTTGGGCCCATATCAACACCTCCCCCATTAAAATCAACCTTGTCCTCAAGGTTGAAGGATGGAAACTGCTTGGAAAACTCCTCCCAAGGTTCCCATGTGACACATTCACCTGGCATGCCTGCCCACAGTACTTGCACCTGTTTAATGTGAGAATCCCCTGTTTGCTGTATGTGTGTAGACAGAATTTGTTGAGGCTCTAAAACAGGTAGTCCACCTTGAAAAATTTCTGGCAGTGGCAATGGGGAAATAGGTTGTTCACCCTTAAATGGCTTAAGTAAGGATACATGGAATGTATGGTGTATCTTGGCAGTAAGTGGTAAACTCAACTTATATGCCACCTTACCTACACGTTTCAGAATTGGAAATGGTCCAAAATACCTTTTGGACAGCTTATTGGAGGTTCTGTTGGCTACTGAAACTTGTCTATATGGTTGCAGCCATACCCATACTAAGTCTCCAGCTTTATATTGAACATCCCTGCGATGTTTGTTAGCCTGCTCTCGCATGACTTGCTGAGAATGAAGCAAGTTCTCCTTCAATTGAGATAGAATAATCTGCCTATTTTTCAACCATTTATCCACATCTTCTAATTCAGCAGTAGAGGATATATACTGCAGAATAGATGGAGGATCACGGCCATATACCACCTTAAAAGGTGTCATGCCAGCTGAAGTATGGTAGGAAGTGTTGTAGCAATATTCAACCCAATGCAAGATATTAGACCATTTTTTTGGGTTATCTGCTACAAAGCACATGAGGTATTGTTCTAGTACCCTGTTGACTACTTCTGACTGACCATCTGATTGAGGATGGTAGGCTGTTGTCCTTCTCAAATTAGTGCCACTGAGTTCAAATAATTCTGTCCAGAATCTACTGAGAAAGATAGGGTCTCTATCTGAAATTAAGGATCTAGGAATACCATGCAGTTTACAAATCATATGAGTGAAAAGATCAGCTACCTTAGTTGCTGAGTACCTCTTTGGTAAAGCACCAAAGTGAGCTTGCTTAGACAGCCTGTCCACAACCACTAGGATTGAAGTATAGCCTTGTGACAGTGGTAAGCCAACTATGAAATCAAGGGATAGATCTTCCCAAATTCGTTCAGGTACATGTATAGGCTGTAAAAGACCAGCAGGGCTTCGGGTTTGGTACTTCACTTGTTGACAAGTCAGA